CAAATGAAGTGACTGGCTAATCAGCTGCTGCTGTTTCTCTTTCTTGAAATACAATTTCATGATTTAAAATAGCAGCTCTTAGGACTCAGTTTGGACTGTTTTAGAGAGTTGTTCAATATTTCATAAATGTGAGAAAAAAGGGTCAGATATTATTTGTATTTCATAAATTTTATTAGGCCATAGTTGTTGCAGGAACAGGAAGCGATTCTTGTGGGTTAGAAGAGGGAAATAGTGAAAACGAAGATTGGAAGAGAGTAGCGTCAAAAACTGAGAAAAAGCAAAAAAAGCAGGAGTCCAGTTCAGAACAGTCAGGTGATGTTTAAAGTCATTTTCAAACTAGTTAATCAGACAGACTCTTTTGCAGATTGGAATCTGGTTCAGTTAACAAAATCGATAAATAAACTTGTAGGAGAAGTTCGAAGTGCCAGAATCCTGTATAGTGGAGACTTATTAATAAACTGCAGAGACAGCACACAGCAAGGATAACCAAAAGGATCAACAAGATTGGGGGTAAAAGAGTTCAGTTCAGCTTAGTGGAGAACAAAAGGATTAGCAGGGGAGTCATTGGAGGAGTTCCTGTCATGAACCGAGGACAGATGGACCCAGTATTCAAGGAGAGACAGTCAGTAGGAAAGTTCAAAAAGGTTTATTAAATTAACAAAAACTAAAGTGGAGCTGTGGCTCTCGGACATAGCTGGATGGGGAGCGGGGCACCGCCCAATGACAGAACTCTGCAGGAGAAACACAGGTAAGTGACCACGATCATCTGACAGAAGATGATTATCTGAGTTGGCCACTTACCTGGTTTAACAGTCCAGTCCTAGAATGTCCCCAAGTGCTGCAGTCCCAGGGGACATGCTGGAAGCCGATCCTGGTCAGGGATCCAGAACAGACAGGAACAGACAGGGACAGGATCCAGATCAGGCAGGAACAGAAACAGGTGGCAGGATCCAGATCAGGCAGGAACAGAAACAGGTGGCAGGATCCAGACTTCCAGGCATCCACAGGCTTCCAGGAGGGTTCAGAGTCTGATAAGCGTGAGAGCATGAGTATGGAAAATGTGGAAAAGAAGCTAAAATCAAATGCAGTAACTGTGGTGGAGAACATACTGCTGCATATCGTGGCTGTGAAGTGAGTAAAAGGTCTGAAAAAATTAAAAAACTGAAATTTGAGCTCGGAATAACATGTGCTGAAGCTGCAGAAAGGATCTCATCCCAGTCAGAAAAACCCAAACCAAAAGTTTAGCACATGGCAAATTCAAAACCTCTGGAGCAATGTCCCACAATTGAAGATTCACTGAATGTAAAAAAGAACGATTTTGTTCTTTTCATGGTAGAAGTTATCAATTGTAGTGCTCAGACGACAAGAAAAAACGAAAAAAATTAAAATAATAGTGAAAGATGCAAAAAAGTATCATGAAGTTAAAGATTTAAACTGGGAAATGGTTGAAAGCATGATGGGAAACTGGCCGAGTGACATTCACTTAAAGATAAATAAGAAATTATGAGGGCAAATGTGACTAAGTATTTATTATGTTCGGTTAAGTTAAACAGTTGGGAAAAATATTATTATTTTTTTTTTTTGTCGTTTCCTGTTTCCTTGCTTAACTCCTTATCAGTTGGTGGCAGTAATGCACTTTAACTAGTTTGCCAACCGCCATAAAACCTTACAAGAAGAAGACTTTACGCCAAGTGAGACCATTAAGATCAATTAAATGCACAGATTCGAGTTCAGCTTTAATCAGTATACA